CGGCGAGGGCCCACGCCCTCTCCTTCCTGCCCTGCAGGGACCGGGGGTGTTCGCCCGCTCGCTGGAAAGCTGGTCGCTGCTTTGGGCAGACAGAGGGTTATGCTGCGGATGTGTTCCTCTCACTGCACGTTTTGGCATCCTTTTTTCTGGCATCTCACTCTTGCGGGGATTGAATACCACAGGACAGTTTTGGAGTATGTATTTTCCCAGTGCTTTCCATCGTGAAAGCTGAGTCAGGGTATAACGGTTACTTTTAATACTTATAATCCTTTTTACTTGCACTTTTTGTAGACCTGCCTTTTATTTGTTACCTTTCACTGTTTTCTTCTCTTTTTAATTTCTTTCTTAAATATAATTTTATGATTGGCTACTCCTGGATTTCGTTTCTGGAAAGCACTCTCAGTCCTAGGAACTCTGGGACCGAGCACGTTGCCTCCTTGTTTCCCCAGGCCCTTTGGGGATGCACGATGACTTGCTGCACGTCCAACTTCAGCGCTCTGGTTCTGAGGTTGTGTGGAAACTCTTGAGCTTCTGAAGTCACGCTTTCGTTGAACGGAGTGGTGCTTTAGTGCCAGATAAAGACCCTCGAGGATAAAGGGAGAGAATTCTCTTGCTTATTGCAAGAGAAGGAGATTCCTTTTTGGGAAACGGGAACAAGTTTTACATGTTTGTTCCTATGGGTTAGTGCTTTTTTGTGTATTTGGAGGACTCCTTCCAAGCAGCAGTATAGGTGTGAGCTTTTTTTTAATCTTCTATTTAGACATTTAGTTGAGGATTAAACTGATGGAGTGCTTTGCATCTTCCGTACTTCAACTGTCTTTAATGATCATATAAGTAAAACCATTTATTCTGCTATCACGTTGCAGGTATTAAGATAACACCATGTTGTTCAAGTTACAGGACTTGATGAACGCAGAGTGATGCTAGAATGATACTGTACAATGGTTGGAAAACTAATTACTATAACAGCCTCAAAATTATGTTGCATAGTACTATTTTTTTTGTATTTTCTTTTTCTGTTCTATCAGTCAGCTTGTGTGTACCTTCATTATTGATGTATTTCTCACTTATCTCTTAGGTTTACAAAAGATACTGCCAGGTTCAAGGATGAATTAGATATTATGAAGTTCATTTGCAAAGATTTTTGGACAACGGTATTCAAAAAACAAATAGATAACCTAAGGACTAATCATCAGGTACTAATGCTGTAGAATAAGATTTAACTTACAAAATCAGTAACACCTTTGAGTTACTAGCGCATTTTTTGTTTGTCTTGGTCTAGAATTAATTACCTGATAAGAAACCCAAAATGTTCTGTGTTTTGTTTAAAAAGCAGCTTTTTAAGGTTTATGTTAGCATGTAGCTTCAAAATACAATTTAATTATTTCTTGCGATGTCTTTATTGCCACACTGTTTGAAAAGACTAAATGCTTTGGATTTCATATGTGCTGTTGCAGAGTTACAAATTGACAGGACAGTAATGGTTACAGTTGATTAACATTTAAACAGGAACTTTTTAATGTATCTCCCAATAAATTTATTAGAAAACTAGTGTGAGAAAGTGATAATTCTGTCTTAACATCTGTTTAAATAGAATGGCTGCCTTGAAGTAATTTTTTTTATTTTGAGGAATATTTACAGTTTTCAGCAGTTCAGACACTTAGTTGCGCTCTGCTGAACATAGTTGCATAAGAAACAGCTGAAAAACTTTCTAGATTTGCATGTTGGTGACATTGTGTTGTGTCTATGTCCTTTCCTATATCAACAGCCACAGTTCTTAAAGCAAGATCAAAATAATTTAAGTTTCCATTTTACTAGAGTAAAAAATCTTTTTTCATTTTGGATTACTTTGTTTTCTTATGGCCATTTACCTGTTGTATCAAAGTAGGAACACAGAATTTGTGCAAGAATTGTACCAGATAAAATAGGTTTTATTTATCAGTGAGCTGTTTTATCAAGTAATAACTTTAACAGATAACAATTACCTCAGAAATCTGTTTTTGAATTCAAAGCAAGCTGTAGTATTGAGATTAGGTCTCAATTGTATATGCAGCCTTAATTTAATTTCAAGGGTTATGAAGTTCCAAAGTAGCACAGTCATTCGCAAAGAAATGAAAATGACAGGTGTAAATTAAGCTGTACCATGTTCACACTTAATTTATTAAAATGCTTGTTGTGGCACAAATTTGTAGTGCAGAAAACACTAGACTCTCAATTTGATCATCTGCTGGATGTTGTTGCCTGTATTGCTATTAAAGATGACTAAATTTGAGAATAAGAACAGTCAATTGCATATCAAATGAAGATTAAGATTTGACTGTAAAAATCAGCATGCATTTGATATCTTGACAAAGAATTTCTAATATGGAACTATTGTTTCTGAGCACTGGAAGGTCTCTTCCAAGAAGAATGTAAATAAACATTTTTTAGGGTTAACTGATCATGTTATTACCTAGGAGTTTTGTTATAAACTCACAATTATGTATCTTTTGTTTTGATATTTCATGTAAGTAAATAATACAGTCTAAACTTAAATCATATATGCCTTAATCTAAAATTTAATTTTTCAACCTGAGAACGTTTGTATTGTATCTACAGATCAAATTCCTTCACATGAAATGTTGATTACATGTTACTGCATATTCAACTAAAAAAACTTTTTTTTTTTAAAACAGGGTATTTATGTCCTTCAAGACAATAAATTTCGTCTCTTGACACAAATGTCTGCAGGAAAGCAATATTTAGAACATGCACCAAAGGTACCCTTCAGTTTTATCATTGGGATCTACCAGTTTGGTTTGGATTATCTTTATCTATTAATAATAACTGATAATAACTTTAAATTTTATTACATTATTATTTATATTAAATAATAACTTTAAATTTTGTAATTGAATGGATACAAACTCTTCAAAAGGGCAGCTAAAGTTTAGTCTCCAAAACCTGTGCTTTTTAGAAATGCACCTTGTTTTGAAACAGTGGATTTGATTTATGGTTCAAGAAACGGTCATAGTTGTGAAACTTGCTGTTGCCATGTTAGAGTTACTTGATGGTAGGAGCTGATCTGCCACTGTCTGCCACTATCACACAAATTCTTTCTTTCTCTTTGGAAAGCATGTGCTTTCAGAAGTTTTTTTTTAATTTCCAAAACCTATTTGGAAGATGCTATTTGTTACCTAGAATAAGCTTCTGAAATAATGTGAACATTCAGAAAGATCTTCTACCAGTTAAAAATAGTTTTGAGTGTAGATGCTGAGTTAGGGTAATTGTTTAGGTAAGTTAAAACAGTGCCTCTGCAGAACTTCTTATAAAGCACTTTGATTCAGGTGGATATAAGAAATGGGGCATTCAGATCCATTCTATGGTTTTGTAATTCTTGCTCTTAGTCATCACAGTTGCAGTCTACTGTCCTTGGCGTTGTTTTTTTTTTTTTTTTTTGTTTGGTGAGGTGGTTGTTCTGTTTTGAAACATATATTCTAAATATCTGCAGGCCCTTGTATTCCAAGATGTGGCCTGTGCAAGAATGTTGTTTTGGACTGCTTCTCCTTCATTGACTTTAATACCAGTTGCTAATTTCAGCCAAGTCTTGGGAATAATTGTTTTAAGGATATTAAGTTCTGCAGGTTTAATGGAAACAGAAACAAGTGACTCAAGTTAGTACCTCTATCAAGAGAAATCTGTATTGTGAGCTCTGCTGCACCAAATACCAGAGCTTGCTTCTATTAGAGACATGACGAAGTCTCTCAAGCACAGTAACAAAACCTCCATAGTTTTCTACTGTCCAAGTGCTAAGTCTGGTTCTTGAGTACTTAGCTTCAATCTTTAGCAACAAGCTTCATCCTTGACACTTACTTAAAGTGCAACTTTATATTTAGTATTTAGCATTTACCTGTGGACTAATCAGAGGCGGCCTATCGAATTTGGGAATAAAGAGTATTGTAACAGCTGAAGTTTCATCAATGCCTGCATGTAAGTAGTTCTCAGAGTATTCAATTATTAGCTCATTTGATAACTTTCCTTACTGACTTCATCACGGTATAAGCATTTATCAAGGTGGGGGGCTGGGCCATAGGAGTCATTATGAACTTCAGGATGTGACTTGTCACTAAATGCTTTAGTGATTAGCAAATACTGACAGAGGGTGAACCTTTGTGATAGTGAGTAGAAGCCAAAACTAAAAAGTTGTATTTACATTTGGTAGCATCATATGCATAAGGATGTATGTCCAGAAGGCTGTTTGAGGAAGTGACGATAAAACCAACTAGATAGATGCTTTTTCTCTAAAGAAGTCATTAAGAAAGTTAGTAAGTGAAGTCCATTGTAACTACCCAAGGTGCTTAAGGTGGATTTAAAAATTTCTGCAGACTTTGCAAAAAACTTAAATTTAGCTGAGAAAACTGTTGTGATGGGGGTCATGGATCAACTTAAAGCAAAAAAAGAAAAGAAAGAAAAAGCTGTTCAGCTGGAGTTAAATTTAAATGCTAAATTTAAATAATGGCTAGATTGTTCACAATTAAACCGTAAGATTGAAATGTTCCTTACTATCTCTTTTAACAAAATTATTACAAGAAAATAATCACTTAATAAATAATAACTTCAATGGTGATACTTTGATCAGACTTTGCTTTTTCTTTGCAGGTAAATTTCAGGTGATGATACAGAAGATGTAGAGCACGTTCAGATCTGGATATCTACCTTAAAAATCCTTTGTGTGTGGATTCGGTATCTTGGTTCAGCTTTGTATGTAGCTTGTGAATTATAGCAGTGTGCAGCACAATTCCAAAACATATAATAAATGTTTATCCAAATAACTGGACACTATCCTTGTGTCTTGGTATGAAATTTATTATATACCAAGGTATTAATGTCCACAAGGTTTAAAACTGGCTACTCAAAAGTTTCCAACAAAAGATTTCAGTTACCAAAACAGCACATATAGAAGACCAGAGGCACAGAGAACAGTTTAAAAGCCTGACCAAGACTAAATTGGAATAGGAAGCTAATGTGTTTTGTGTCACTTAACATGAATACCGAACTGCTATCTTTCCCTGTTCACTCTGGACTGCGAGGCAGCAATTGCTTTTTTATTGTTCTGAGGAAGGTATTATCACATGCGTCAATGGCCTTCATTAATGGTGTTCAGTGGAGGCTTAGTTCCTTTGTAGGAATGATATGGGGCAGTAGAAAAAAGAACTTATTTCCATGTAGTTAAACAGTTTCTCCTACCTCCCTGAAATTAGCTGCTGTTTTTTTGTGTCAAAATAATTTTACAGATAAGGTCATCTACTACTGTCCAAAGAAGGAAATTTGTTTTAGCTTGTTGTACATAAATTCAATATTAATGTAATTGTTTTTAATTGCTAGCTACAACTCACTTCTGTAATGAGGGTGTGCAGGAAGAGGATTAGGCCTGCAAGAAACTATACAGACATCACCAAGACTCTTGAGGACATTGAGTTTTGCTAGATACTACTTGTTACAAGATTTGTGTAACAATACGTAACTTGCTGTAGGTAAGCACGAAAAAATCTTGTTAAAACGTTTTTAATGAATTTTGCTGTAAGACATTTCTGTTGGCAGGTTGAGGCCTTATACTTTTGAGTGAATCACAGTAGAAACTTACAGTGTTTAATCAGAAGTGTGAGAATGCCTTGTGATAGTGATTTAGTTTCTACTTTGAGACCAGTAAATAACAGTCTAACTAGAAGAGCTCATACATTAAAATAGCATGACTGACTGTTACAGCTACCTGCTGTGTTGGGAGAAGTGTATGTTGTCCAGTTGCATGGTGGGCAGGAACAATGGAAGCTCTAGGGCCCTAAGCTCTAGGGAAGATTGGCAGTTTGTAATGGATCAAGCCTTTTCTAGATAGCTGTTACAAGCTGGCAAGCTGTAGATTACAAATGGGATAACCAGGGGGTTATTACACTTGAGCTTAAGATGTGACCAGATCCTGATCTTTGCAGGTACTGTGAATGCTCGTTCAGATTAGTTGTAGATGAATAACTTGACAGTTCTACGACACATGTAGAGCAGAACTTGAATTAGCAGCATGCCGCCCCACTTTTGGTAGAACTAGCAAAGATGAAAGTCACTACAGTAATGTACTTGTTGGGGATCAGCTGTTCAACTGATTGAAAACATTGGGTTCTTACACTGGTGGTTTATAGGAAGGCTGTGGTGATTGTCCATGTTTATAACTCAGATTTGTTTGAAATTGTAGGGATGGAGTGTTTGCTAACTAGTATTCTTGCTGAGTGCATTCCATCTGTTCTTCAGTTGCCAATTCACCCTACTTTTGACATGCTAAAAATGTTACTAAAAAGACTAGAAATAGCTTGCACTGTGTATCTAAGAGATGGACATTTCAATGTCATCATATTCTAGGCATCTGCAGTGGTAGACATTCAGTATCAACATATACAGAATCATTGTTACTTACATATCCAGAATTAAAACTCTGGTAGTTACTGTAATTCACTTTGATGTCTCTTGGCAGTAAAGACTACTATTCTATATGCAAAAGTCCATTAATTCAAAGACATATTAAAGGTTTATCAATAACTGGTTGTGCTTAATGATTATTTTTAGTAGCAGAGCACTTTTATAGAGAAAGCAGATGTCAGTTAATACTGTGTATCAGTTTGCTGCTATGAGCAGAATTCATAGCCTTTAACACTGATTTTTAATTGCTGAAGATAATTAGAACCAGAAGGAGTCATGTATGTACCAAGCAAATGCCAATACTCTTGGCGAAGCACTCCATGTTAAATATATAAATAAGTGAGCTAATGCATTTGTCGAGATACCATATAGAAAATAAATTTGTTTATTCTGTTTAATAAATGTTTCTATTAAAAGCATTGAATACAGCTGTGTAATTTTCACTGGTTTCTGCAACTGTTCACTAAAAATAGCATTACTACTCTGGCAGTAGTAATGTTTATGTTTTACTAAAATAATTGTTTCAGTAACCTAGTGGCTATAGTTGAACTGCTTAGCAGTGCTTAAAAGATTGAAAAAGCACATTGTCCTAGTTGTGTAAATTTCTATAGTAAGGCTGCTGTTAAGTATGATAGAAGAATGAGAAAAGCCACAATGTTTAAGAACACTCCTTAAAATGCTTCAGTTTTATTAAAAAAGCCCTCAATGTGTGTGTGCTAAAGTTAACAATCATTTATAATGTACCCTCAGACTTCACCTAATAGTGGTGTCCACAGGACTACTCAGATGGTAGAAATTTCTAACCAAGAATGTAGTTTACAGAGACAGTAGCTTGAGAGATGATGCCAGACACTTCATTGACCATTTTACAATGATGGTGGTGATCATACCGGAGACATTGACAATCTCATGCTAAAGCTCAGCTTAAGGTATTCAAAGCTGTCCCAAATGCATTATCTTGAGGGCGTTCTGAAGGGGTTGTATAGTACTTCAGGCCTGAACGGTGCAGTGTCTTGCTGTTAACTCTGATAATGCTGTTTCTACTAGGGCAACGCAAAATACTTGGTATTCTCAAAACAGTCTAGGAAGGCTCATCAGCCAAGTCACGTTGATCGAAGTACCTAGTGGAGGGAAGTGGAATATGGTAAGAAACCTCTAATGCAACATACTTCTTACCTGGCTCTGAGTTGTTAGGCCCTTTACTTTCTAGCTCTTCTTTTAGTGTTTCTATCAATCATGTTTACAGCTTTGCAGTTCAGGGGCTCATCTAAGGAAACCAATAAGCTTACTTTACTCTTAGGTTTATCTTAAGTCCTTTTAGCTAGGTATATTTGCTACATAAGCCCAGGGTAATTGACTTCCACTTTAAAAGAATCCGGGTTAGGACAAGAGTAATCTGCACGTACTTTACTGTTTTATATAGGTAACCTGCATTACCTGCTAACTAAGCAGATTATCAAGTTCAGAGCTGATATTTGTTCTTCATTCTTGTTCTCCTGAAAGGGAAATAAATATTAGAACAGTTCTTGTTACCTGTGTCCAATGGAAAAGCTGTTACATGCCGTGTTACATGCTTGTAGTCTTCTCTTCATTCTCAAGCAAACTTAGGACACGAAAAAATACTTACCAAGACTTCAAGAACTGAAAAATCATCCTCCTAATAATTTAAGTTCAGCAAGTCCTTTGCATAATGTTGTATTAAATCTTACCTCTAGTATTCTGACTTCTGAGCATCGTCTTGCCAGCTGTCGAATAAGGGAGTGAGCTTCAGGTAGCAAAGGTTTTTCAAGGCATGCCAACAGCGCATAAAGCCACCTGCCCTGTGCGGATTCCAATAATAAAGTTTCAATTATCAGCATTTCCTTGAAGTTTCATGCAGTTCTTATATAGACCAGGCCTAGAGCATAGTCTCAAAACAAAATTGCATTCAAGTGGTACTGCCAGAATTGAAAAGTTTGAAAGCCAAATTAGACACTACACAGTAGAATTTTGTGCCTTTAGATAAGTTTCTTGTGAGCAGTATGCCTGGATGTCCTGATATTTTTGGGAGTACTGGCCAAAATATAAAGTAATACAGCTTAAACTATTAAAGTCTGAGTGAATAATTATTTTAGTAATATCTAAAGATTATTACTTGGCCATTAATTTTTAACTTCACAAACTGTGGAAAAACATTCCTGAAGAGTGAATGTATCGAGTCAAATCTTTGTGGAATTACTGCTGTTAGATCAGCTTTAAGATTTGCACCACTGTGAAAACATGTCCTTTGCATTTTACTTCACTGAATTCTACTGCATTCTTACAAATGTAACTTCTGGTACCAGTCTAACTTCTTAATTTAATTAGAGTATTTAGTAGCTTTCATTATGGGAAGAAACTAAAAGTCAATGTGCATGTCCTCTGCAGCATATTGGTTAATAAGAAAACAGTCCTAGAGAAAAGGACAGAATGTGAAAAGCCTTTAGGTGACTAAAAAATGGTGAAACTGTTTAGGATTATGGAAGTAATTTTTCATTACTGTTTTTGCTTTGTGGTACTGAATGAGAGGAGATGCACCTACCAAGGTCTTTTGCAGAAACGATGCCGTTACATAACTAGTCAATCTAGTTGTGGCCAAAATCTGTGCTAATGTGCGCTGTCAATCAGAATTTCTTACTAGGTTTGATTTGATGCTATACTAAGGCAACTAAGCTTTCTGGTCAGTGCTGCACGTGGAAAAATTAAACATGTCTTTGCATGTGCTGTACGTGGAAAAATTAAACATGTCTTTGCATAGACATACATGTCCAAGCTAAAACGGAGGTGTCGGTAAATACAGCACGCAGCATCCTGACAGCTTAAACTGGTCAGAACCAAAACTGCTGCAGTCTGACCTGACCCTCTTCTCTCCCCAGCGTTGATACTCATCCAACTTGGCGGATTAAGTTAGTGTGGGGAGCAATAAAAAGGAGAGGGATTTTTGGCAATACTTGACAGATCTGTGTCTGTTATGTTCTGTAATTAGCCTTCTAAAACATTCTGTGAATACTTATTTTGGTATCTAATCAAGTAAGTTTTGAAAGTAACTGTGATACATGCATCCAAAGAGCTCTTTAGAAACTAAAACAATTTCATAGATAACTATGAACAATTTATCCCTTGTTTAATGTGTTCAGATGCAAGTAGTTAGAGTAAAGTAAAAATTACCAGTTCTGGGGTAAATTTTTTCTCTCCAAACCAGCTTATCAGGTATTCTAAGACACTGGTTACTGTTGCCTTCAAAAGAGGAACAGAGAGAGACAATACAATACCTGCAATGTTTTGTTTTGCTGTCCCTCTACCCAAAAGATTATATTATATAAAAAGCAATATGATCTTTATAAATATACACATTATATATTTCTGCTCCACTGCGATTCTATATGGTACTTATTCCAGGTTGAAGTTCCACATAAGGGTAAAGTACGCATTAAAGAAGCAGTTCCTGGAAAGAACTTTATAAAAAATGAAGTAAATTTCTGTGTTAACAAGAAGTTATGGATAAGTAGCTACATATTAGGAAAGAGGCATGACACTGACTGGCTGTTTCTGGTATAAAGGTGACTAGTGGAAAACAGTACTGAAGGAAAGGTAAGTGTTATTCTTCTAGTCTTGCAGTGTATGCAAGAGTTCAAGGACAGTACTTAAAACAATGAGAAACCTTAAAACACTGTCAAGCACCTAATGAGGCATTCAGGAAACAGTCAAACATTAAATGTTCTATAGAGAAATTACAAGAACAAAATATTCTTAAAACTGGTCATGATAAATGTTCACTAGTAGAGTTGTTTGTAGCTGAAGGTGAGATAATGATTACACGTTTTCTTTGCAAGTGTACAGTGAATAGCAGTTATAATAAACAATTCCCTACTCTAGCACAGAAAAATAGATAAGACTTCTGCAACAGATAGAATATGAGAAATAATGACTTATGCAATGTCATTATGCTATTCTAAGAGGTAGGCTTACCTGATTCAGTCTGCTTACAATACTTAGCAAAGGGGGAAAGCCCACCTGAAAAAAATCAAGTTGGAAAATGCAGAGACTAAGGTTGGAAAGGACCTTCAAGATCATCAAGTCCAACCATTAAACCAGTGCCGTGTCCCCTAAACCATGTCCCCAAGTGCCACATCCACACGTTTTTTGAACACTTCCAGAGATGGTGCCTCCACCACCTCCCTGGGCAGCCTGTTCCAATGCTTGACCACTCCCTCCGTAAAGAAATTATTCCCAATACCTAGTCTAAACCTCTCATGGCGCAACTGGAGGCCGTTTCCTCTCGTCC